CACGCCCGGCACCACCACTACCACCACCATGCACTTTTTCCATCCCAATTGCAACAGTATCATTGTCATTTTCACTGTCAGTTCCTGTTGTACAGCCACTGGATGTACAACAGGAACTGACAGTGAAAATGACTCCTTCCCCTTGGAATAGCATATGGCACACTACCGAAGCGCATATATCGTCGTATATACTGACGCTTCACTGGAGAGTATTGCACTTCACAATCACTACTGGAACTAGTTTGAAGAGCTTGTAGTTCATAATCACTATCACTATCATCACAAATGCTCACATCTGAGCCTGGGATTTGGGAAAATAGGAGTTTCCTCTTTGATTCTGGTACAACTGAACGTGAACAAGACGGCCCAGCAACAGAGGTGGAAGGCTGAGGGTCATCTGGGTTTTCCTCACTATTACCGATATTATGGTCATAAGTTTCAGTGTAAACCTCACCAAAACCTTGAAACTCATCTTCACTGGCACTTCCATCTGTATTAGAACTGTCACTGGGGAACAAAAGCGTCCCAATTCGCCAAGGAGTGAGGAACTTCTTACCGCGAGGCATGGTGGACTTTGTTTACTAAGATGGCGTTCCCACAATGCACCACTGGGTCCCAGATTTTTTTTCTTCCGTCCACACCCACCAACAATCTTTCAAGCATATCGCAACAACTTACGCTTATTCTCTATGCTGACAACATGGCTTTTGTCATATCCCACCCTAATCTAGCCTCACTCAATACTATTGTTAATGAGCTTGCAAAAATAGCAACCTGGATGACTATCAATAAACTTACACTTTATATAGACAAAAACCTTTCACATTATGTTTGGGAGTAGAGCAAGTGAGGTCCAACTAAACATTATGCTTAACAACATCCTTATTACGAAACATAATGATTGAAAATTCCAGGGTCTACACCTTGACAGCAACCTGAAATTCAACACCCATATCCAACACACAACAAAACAAAGTATCTGAAACAGTTGGCATCCTCTCAAAGATATGTTACTATGTAGCACAAACAGCACCACTTATTTTTTTTTATTATCACACTGGCCGATTCCCACCAAGGCAGGGTGGCCCGAAAAAGAAAAACTTTCACCATCATTCACTCCATCACTGTCTTGCCAGAAGGGTGCTTTACACTACAGTTTTTAAACTGCAACATTAACACCCCTCCTTCAGAGTGCAGGCACTGTACTTCCCATCTCCAGGACTCAAGTCCGGCCTGCCGGTTTCCCTGAATCCCTTCATAAATGTTACTTTGCTCACACTCCAACAGCACGTCAAGTATTAAAAACCATTTGTCTCCATTCACTCCTATCAAACACGCTCACGCATGCCTGCTGGAAGTCCAAGCCCCTCGCACACAAAACCTCCTTTACCCCCTCCCTCAACCCTTCCTAGGTCGACCCCTACCCCGCCTTCCTTCCACTACAGACTGATACACTCTGAAGTCATTCTGTTTCGCTCCATTCTCTCTACATGTCCGAACCACCTCAACAACCCTTCCTCAGCCCTCTGGACAACAGTTTTGGTAATCCCGCACCTCCTCCTAACTTCCAAACTACGAATTCTCTGCATTATATTCACACCACACATTGCCCTCAGACATGACATCTCCACTGCCTCCAGCCTTCTCCTCGCTGCAACATTCATCACCCACGCTTCACACCCATATAAGAGCGTTGGTAAAACTATACTCTCATACATTCCCCTCTTTGCCTCCAAGGACAAAGTTCTTTGTCTCCACAGACTCCTAAGTGCACCACTCACTCTTTTTCCCTCATCAATTCTATGATTCACCTCATCTTTCATAGACCCATCCGCTGACACGTCCAGCACCACTTACACTGTACTATTCACTGATCTACCCCTACCTCACCTATGTTATTTGTGCCTGGGGTTCCACAATGACAAATCACCTAAAGCTAATAAAAACCCAACAAAAAGTTGCAGTGTGAATGACCACACAGTCCACTGCTAGACGACACACAGCCCCACTTTTCAAAGACCTAAACCTACTCACAGTACAAAACATTCACTTGTACTGTTGTGCAACCTATATTTACGGAACACTTAATTCTAATATAAATCCTGACCTGAAGTGCTTTCTTGACAGTTGCAATAGGATCCATAGACAATACTCGGCACAAAAATCTGTATGACATTCACCATGTCAGGCTAAATCTTTTCAGAAACTCAGTTAAACAAAAAGGGCCCAAAATCTGTTAAACTCTACCAGAAATCTCCAGAACCACAGGCTCAGCTAGGATTTTTAAAAACTACAGTTAGAAAACAACCTTATCTCCTTAACCTATCCCAGCTCATCATAAATACACACGTAAAAATTATACATGCATTTCCTCAATATCATGAGCATGGGTAAAACATTATACTCAATATATACATACTCTCAATATCTGTAATTCTCTCAAATGTTAATCATTCCATTGTGCACACCTTAGGTTAATAATCAAAACTGTAATTCCTCTCTACCAAACTTATTAAAGCCATATGGCATGAACTAATAGAATACAGTGGACTCTCGTTTTTCGTAATTAATCCATTCCAGAGAGTGTGACTAATGGCGAAATTGACGATTTGCGAAACCATTTTCCCCGTAAAAAATAACGTAAATCCAATTAATCCGTTTCAGACCAAAGGTATTAACAAAAAAGTATTTTTTTTACATGAAATATAGATTTACATACACAGAAAACAATGAGACATAGACATGAAGAATGAAACAATAACAACATCACACTTACCTTTATTGAAGACTTGTTGGTGTATGAATAAAATATGTCACTGCATATGTTAGGAATTGTGGCGGCAGCAGGGAAGTGTGTTTGGAGGCAGGACAAGATGGTCCTTTAATAGACACTAATATCAACTCTTTGGCTTACTTATCTATCACAATTCATCTAATATGACATAGTAAACAATATTAATAACATAGAAACATGACATAAAAAATGTCATTACGTATGTCACGAGTGGTGATGTGTTTTGTTGTTGGGTGTATATGGGCCGCTGAGAGCATAAGCCGTACATAGTGGTGGTGAAGGCCAGCAGAGGCGGCAGTGTTCTCAGTAGCCTTATATAACTCCAACAACATTGGAGGAGTTAGGTTCATGGTTTATGTTGTCCTTTTTCTATCGATTAATCGCTTAACCCTTTCAGGGTTTCGGCCATACTAATAAACAGAGGAAATGTCATTTTAGTGCCAGGAATGTCTTTCTTGTTTATTCTGGACCCTATTTGGAAATTGGCATATTTTGAAATTTGTGTGAAATTGGCAAAATTGCTAAATTCTGACCACTGTATTGGATAGTTGAAATGGTAAATGGGTGGTTTCTTGCACTCATTCGATAGAAAAAATGGAATTCTAGCAAAATATTCATGATTTTTGTCGACTAGTACACTGGAATTGGCCGAAAATAGGGCTCAAAGTGGGCAAAATTGCCGATGTGTAAACTTCGTCGAGACCGCTAACTTCGCGAGAGCAGAATTCCGTAAGTTTTTCATCAAATTTCATAGTTTTGGTGTCATTATGATCGGGAAAGGATTCTCTATCTTTGCATAAGAATTTTTTTTTTTTTTTTTTTTTTTTTTTTAAATTTGGGCGACCCTGAGAACAAGTCTCTGAGAGGGCCTGTCGACCCTGAAAGGGTTAACTTACTTGCTACACTGTTAATGCTACACTTTATTGCTGGCTGGCACTATAGCTTTTATGGACTCGTGCTGCTTTAGCATCGTACATATCGTAGAATCACTGAAGAAGGTACATTCTTCCCTCTCTCTTCCTCCTCCACTTTGGTACTTTGCTACGAGTTCTTTCTTGAATTCTGTCATGTTTCTCACCTTCTTTACCAAAGGCCTGGCACTAGGAGCTTTCTTTGGGGGCCATGGTGGCTTATTTAGCAGTTGCAAGTACTGAAACAAATGGAATATTACAAAATGTATCGTATGATGCGTAGGATCATCCTCACTCGCTGATAAACAATGGCACACTGGCTGTGAATGGAGTGTGATGCTGCTCAGGGCCATGTGTACGTGACTGGGATGAACGACTATTTGCGAGTCAAACAACGATTCGTGAGTCAGTATTTTGATGAGAAAAAGTTACGATTTTCGAAAATTACAACTTCCAGTGCTTACGAAAAATGAGGGTCCACTGTATTTGGTTCTCTTGTATTCATTGTAACTTACCTAGTGACCTTATGTACAAATTTACTGTATTGTTATTGCTTTATTAATCTTAAGCTAGTCTTCAGTTTGCCCAAAATGCTCTGCATATAAAAGAGTTTTTGGCATGTATACCCAAGTGTTATACTCCTTTGTACAAACATGTTATTTAATTTTTTTTTATTAACACATCAGCCATCTCCCACCAAGGCTTTAGAAGCCATTCTTAATTGCACCTTACTTCATATGTAAATTAAGTCACACTATATCCAGGGAAAAAATAGAGACTGAATGATGAATATATGTGTGAATGAGCACAAACAATACTGACGTGGGTGGACTATGGCTTGGAGAACAATGAAAACACAGGCCCTGGATGTGGCTGCTCTGACCCATACCAATAAATGTCGGAGTCATTGGACTTCGTCCAGTACCTCGGACAACAAGCCGAAGATACTATCACTACAGACAAAATCTGGAATTCGACTTTCTTCCATTTTGTCCAATGATTCCAATGGTTGTACAACCAATTTTTGTCTTGAATTTGCAAAATCCATTAATGTAAGGTTTTACTGGCCTCCCCTGTTCATTTATTCATGTAATTAAGCCTTTATTAGTGCATATTTTACTGCAGTTTCTGTAAGGTAGGTAAATCTGTTAACTTCCTATTTGGAAAGTGCTGAAATTTAGGTTTACACTATATGTACTTCTGAAGCTGCACATAAGTCCATTTAGTGTGTAGACAAAGCACACATTGTATATAACCAGGAAATAAATTACTGATTATGCATATATGAATTGCAGGGAGCAATTGAAGGTCCTGGAGAGTTCGCTGAAGGAGTATTGCTGGGTGTGACCAGCTTTATGGGTAAAACTGTGGGGGGTGCAGCTGGGGCTGTCTCTCGCATCACAGGAACCATTGGTAAATAAGTTACTGTATATACTTCGTTTCTGAGGGAGGGGGGGGAGGTTCTATACTCTTTCAATCAGAATAAGATTAAAGATCATTGAGTAATCAGGTAAATTCCACTTAAACATTTGTAGTTGATTTACAGTAGAAACAACCATAACTCATATTAATGATCTTCCTTTTTAAGCTGTTTTAAGATAAATGTATATACTGTTAAATAGATACAAGTTTAGCTAACATATTTCTTGTAGGCAAAGGTGTAGCAGCCTTGACACTTGATGAAGAGTACCAGAAGAGACGAAGGGAAGCAATGCACCGCAAACCAGCTGATGGTATTGAATCTCTGGCCAGAGGAGGAAAAGGCATCGTCACAGTAAGTCTAAAATCAATGTTAAAATCAAGATCAAATGCAATATTTCTAAATTTTATTTCATTATTGCATTACTCCCAAATTCTTAGCTCCTTTAGAGTAAAGAACATTAGTTTAGTTACACCTCATAACCTAGATTATGAAAATAAATGCTAAGAAAGTAAAAATTGTCAAGTAAAAAAAAATTTATTTGGTACTTTCCTTTTCTAATTACTGGTAGGTACCTAGCAGGAACAACTGACTTGTAATGGTGTAGCACATTTTTTTAAATATACATTTCATTGCTCCTCTGCCAAATAGTTTCATGTTCAGTTTTTTTTTTTTTTTTGTAATGTGTATGATTTAGGTAGAGCACTTTTACAGGGAGTTGTTGATGGTGTGACAGGAGTGTTTCTGAAGCCCATTGATGGAGCTAAGGAAGAGGGAGTGGAGGGATTCTTCAAGGGAGTGGGCAAGGGTATGGTGGGTCTGGTGACTCGCCCAGCCTCTGGGGTCATAGACTTTGCTAGTGGATCGTTTGATGCTGTTATGAGGCAAGTAATTACATGTATGGAACAATATTGTCATAGTGTTTTTTAGTACTAGATTATCTGAAAGTATTGCAGAAAGTTGTGTAATCTGAGTACAGTAAACCCATGCCACATTGTGTTGCCCGTGTGTTCTAATATTATTACAATGAGCTAGTGATGTATGGGGGTAGGCTTAAGAATGTAGTGTTAGTGTTCAGCAGAATTTTTTGTGGTTACAGAAAACTGGGTATGGGAGGGAAGAAGTGATTGGTGGAATGAAGAGGTAGAGAGAGAGTAGTAAGAGAGCAAAAGTTAGTATATGAGAGGTTCTTACGAAGTAGAAGTGATGCAAGACGGGAGGAGTATATGGAGAGAGAAAGAGAGGTTAAGAGAGTGATAAAGCAATGTAAAAAGAGAGCAAATGAGAGTGGGTGAGATGTTATCAAAAAATTTTGTTGAAAATAAGAAACGGTACAGGGTGTGTAGACTGTGTTTACAGTGAAACGTATAGGTAAACAATATTTAGATAAGGGTAAGGAGGTTTTTATAGCATTTATGGATTTGGAAAAGGCATATGATAGGGTGGATAGGGATCAGTGTGGCACTTGTTGCAAATGTATGGAATAGGAGGTAGGTTAGTGAAAGCAGTGAAGAGTTTTTATGAGGATAGTGAGGCTCAGGTTAGAGTATGTAGGAAAGAGGGAGATTATTTCCTGGTAAAAGTAGACTTATGGGGATGTGTGATGCCATCATGGTTGTTCAATATATTTATAGATGGGGTTGTAAGAGAAGTGAATGCTCAGGTGTTGGCAAGAGGCGTGGGGTTAAAAGATAATGAATCTAAAACAAAGTGGGAGTTGTTACAGTTGCTCTTTGCTGATGACACTCTGCTTTTGGGAGATTCTGAAGAGAAGTTGCAGAGGTTGGTGGATGAGTTTGGTAGGGTATGTAAAAGAAGAAAATTAAAAGTGAATATGAGAAAGAGTAAGGTGATGAGGTGACAAATAAATTAGGTAACAGAAGATTGGATATCAGATTGGAGGGAGAGAGTATGGAGGAGGTGAATATACAGTAGGGCCCTGCTTTACGGCGTTTCGCGTTACGGCGTTCCGCTAATACGGTCATTTCAAATTTTGACCAAAACTCGCTATGCGGCTCCCCCCACCTGACTTTCTAATACGGTCACTGTGCCCCACCCGGTTTGTTTACATTCTCTGTGAGATCCGTAAGCACTAAGTCTCTCCATTATGTCTGGAAACTCCCAAATTTCGAGTGTTTTTAAAAGTTATTTCATATTTTATATATGCTCTGATAATTATACTTATGTATACCTGTACCTAAATAAACTTGCACACTCTGCTGGCATGCAGGTACACATTAAAATCAGTAAGAGTGTCTTATTTCTCGAGACGTCATATTAGTAACAATAATAATAATCACCGAGTCTCACTTAAATGTCGTATATTACATTAATATACACATTTTCATTAATCCATCTATGATATTTTTTCAAAATTATATAATAAGCACAATGCATAGCATAAAAAGATGATAAATACACTTCACAGTAGAATAAATAAACATAAATATGAGATGTGGTAGCCAGACGACTTGCACAAATGACGCCATATTAGAAATAATAATAATAATCACCGAGTCTCATTAAATGTCGTATATTACATTAATATACACATTTTCATTAATCCATCCATGATATATTTTTCAAAATTATGTAATAAACACGATACATAGCATAAAAAGATGATAAATACACTCCACAGTAGAATAAATAAACATAAATACGAGATGTCGTAGCCAGTAACTTGCACAAGTGATGGCAAAAATAACATTTTCTCTAGCCTAACATAAGAGAAAATGTGCTACTGGGGGTAACTGTAGAAAATTGTTCCTTTCTTAAGTATGCAGGTTTATTCAGGTATACACAAATACAGTTACATAGATTATCATACATAACAGCATATGTGTAGAGAACCTAGGATAACCCAAAAAAGTCAGACAGTGTAACTTATTTCCATTGCCTTCACTCAGAGCGTCATTTCTTCTAAAAATGGTGTTACATGAGAATGGGAGTGTTCTTTATTTATTCTACTGTATCAATGTAGAGACAACTTGTACACAATGTAACTTGTACACAAACCAGATGTGTACACTTTGTTTGTTTACAAAACTTGCATTCGCCTGGTTTGTTTACATAACTCTGCGCCTGTCCTCCGTCATGTACTCATCTCTCTCTCTCTCTCATTTATTCGTTTTATCTCGTTTACTCACCCCTGACCCTACATTAAGACTACAAATATTTTAAGGTAAGTAATGAGTGAACTGTATATGCATTTTATCGCTCTGGGATGCTTAAATATCATAGAATAGTATGTGTGGGTGGGGTGGCCTGGTATGGTAGCCTGGCTGACTACCATACATACCACACTTGATTTCTTACAATAAATACTACTTGTCTCACCCTAGATTAAGACTATAAATATTTTAATTAAGGTAAGTAATGAGTGCACTGTGTGTGTATTATACTTTTTTATTGTTTTTTGATGCCTAGTTCTGTTGCTAACTTAATATATGTTAGTGTAAAGTTATCTAGTATTTGTATGCATTTAACCTGCCATATAAGTGGGACCCTACTGTATTCAGATATTTGCAAGTGGGTGTTTCAGGAGGTGGGACTGTGAAAGATAGGGTGAATCATTGAATTGACAAGGAGAAAAAGGTGAGTGGTACACCAAGGAATCTGTGGTGACAAAGAACATTATCCATGGAAGCAAAGAAGGGAATGTATGAGAGTAGTGATATACCAATGCTCTTACATTGGTGTGAAGCATGGGTGGTGAATGCTGCAACAAGAAGGTTTGAGGCAGTGGAGATGTCATGTCTGAGGGCAGTATGTGATATGAATATAATGCAGAGAATCTGTAGTTTGGAAATTAGGAGGAGGTGTGGGGTTACTAAAAGTAATATCCAGAGGGCTGAGGAGGGGTTGTTGAGGTGGTTCGAACATTTAGAGAGGTTGGAATGAAATAGAATGACTTTGAGAGCGTATAAATTTGTAGTGAAAGGAAGGCGGAGTAAGGGTCAGCCTAGGAAAGGTTGGAAGAAGAGGGTAAAAAGAGGTTGTGTGAGAGGGGCTTGGACTTCCAGTAAGCATGCGTAAGCATGTTAAATAGGAGTGAGTGGAGACAAATGGGTTTTAGGACTTAACGTGCTGTTGGAGTGTAAGCAAGGTAACATTTATGAAGGGATTCAGGGAACTGGCAGGCCAGACTTCAGTCCTGTGCCTGTGCTCTGAAGGAGGGGTGTTAATGTTGCAGTTTTATAACTGTAGTGTAAACACATCTCTGGCAAGACAGTGATGGAGTGAATGATTAAAGTTTTTCTTTTTTGGGCCACCCTGCCTTGGTGGGAAACTGCCAGTGTGTTAATAAAAATATGTAAAATTGCTAGTGATCATTAGAAAAATATAAAGTAATATGTTGGCTGACTTATAATGCACAACTTGAGAGTAAATTTTATTACTAGTGACATGTGCCATATTGATATACAATGACAAGGTGTATTCTGTTGTAGCACTTCTTTCAGGCAAGATGCCTTGATGTTGGTGACAATCTCTTGATCCAAGGAACTTGACTTGACCTCCTCCTTCCTTGGAGAGACTAAATGCCTCCCATTTCCCAGGCACTATATGACCCCTATGGGTTCACTGCTTCCTCATGATTAAAATAAATCTGTTACAGCACTCTTAATAATAATGAAGCTAGAGCATCTATACAGTCTGATAAACAATTAAAAACTGTAGAATCTTGAAATGTTCTCATAATTTGATTTAACATATTAGTCATGGTTTAACTGTGTCACCAGGGCTACAGATGCTACTGAAGAGGTAGAGCGTTACCGTCCCTCAAGACTGATTGATGCTGATGGGGTTGTTCGACCATATGTAAAACGCTTTGCAGAAGGAGCTAAAATGTTGCAGGTGTGTATTATTTTTCATATACAAAAATCTTACTCAGTGTATGTGAAAAATTAAAGATGAAATGCTGAAGATTGTCACTAGGGTTTGGCCATAATAATTAGTGCTTGCTCCATTTATATTATATGGAATTAATAAGTTGAGGAAGCCTAAGGAATGAATGGATTTGATAGTTAAAAATAGGAGAGGAGAGTTATTAAATGGAGAGTTAGAGGTTTGGGAAGATGAAGGGAATATTTTGAGGGATAGTTAAATGTTGATGAAGATAGGGAAGCTGTGATTTCATGCATAGGGCAAGGAGGAATAACATCTTGTAGGAGTGGGGAAGAGCCAGTTGTGAGTATGGGAGAAGTTCGTGAGGCAGTGGGTAGAATGAAAGGGGTAAGGCAGCTGGGATTGATGGGATAAAGATAAAAATGTTAAAAGCAGGTGGGGATATAGTTTTGGAGTGGTTGGTGCTTTTTATTTAACCTCTTAACTGTCCAAACGTAGATCTACATTCACTCGCACAGCTCTCCAAATATTTTGAAAAAAAAAAAAAAAAATTTAATAAGAGGACATTTTTTTACATAAAGTAATGTACAAAAAGAATTCTAGAGTCAGTACTTGTCATTCACCTGAAGGCAACGTGATGTATTGCCAATATATATTTTTTCTCATTTTTTTTTAATTTGTATAATTTTTATGTTCTGATAATTACAATTTGTAGTAGTTTTTGTGATTTCATAGTTAATCTTTGTTTTGACACTAATGTAAGGTACTGAAATAGTACTCAAATAGTCACACACACAGTGACAGGTGAACATTTTCACCTACCTTCAAATTCAAATTTATTTATTTCTTTGCAAGTAGTACATTGAGATTATATATTTACAATAATGGGTTGCAGTGCAAAGAGAACCTCGATTATGCTTAGGCATTATGAGCCGACTTAATTTAACCCTTAACCCTTAAACGGTCCAAACGTATATATACGTTCACGCGCGTTGCGCCCCAAACGTATATATACGTTTTCTTTGTCATTCATTCAACATTGCCACGATAAGCCTGAGTCACCTAGACATGAGAGAATGGATGTGCGCACTCACTGTGTGCCATATTAAAATAATTGGGGATGCCTGGGTACCATATGCTCTTTTTTCCTCTTAAAAAAAAAAATTTGTTTTTTCTCAAAAAATTTGGGGCACTACACAAGTGAACGTATATATACGTTTGGACCGTTTAAGGGTTAAACTATCCAAACGTAGATCTAAGTTCACGTGCGTAGTGCTCCGACCTTGATTTTCCCCATTTGAAAGCATGTAAAAAAAAAGCTAGATCTACGTTCAGGAGCTCCCCGCACATGGATGTAGATCTACGTATGGACAGTTTAACCCTTAAACGGTCCAAACGTATATATACGTTCACTTGCATAGTGCCCCAAATTTTTTGAGGAAAAAAAAATCTTTTCTTTTAAAAGGAAAAAAGAGCATATGGTACCCAGGCATCCCCAATTATTTTAATATGGCGCACAGTGAGTGCGACACACCCATTCTCTCATGTCTAGGTGACTCAGGTTTATTGTGGTAATGTTGAATGAATGACAAAGAAAACATATATATACGTTTGGGGCTCTACGCGCATGAACGTATATATACGTTTGGACCGTTTAAGGGTTAAGGGTTAATGGCTTACTGTCTACTTAACACTAAAGAAATTTATCACAGTTGTACAAGTTCTATTAATTATAAATGAATCTGATATACAGTAGAGCTCCACTTTTTGGCGTTCCGCTAATATGGCAATCTCAAATTATGACCAAAACTTTCTATGCGGCAGGTGGTCTTTCAGATACGGCGCGGGCCACCCGATTTGTTTACATTCTCCATATGCACATTTCTATTATGTAATAATAATCACTCTTGGGCACATTAAATGTCTAATTTTACGTCAATATAGACATTTTCATTAATCCATCTATGATATTTTCTTCAAAATTATATAAGAAACACATTACATAGCATATAAACATGCTGTTTATATGCTATGAAGGTGTGGTTGCCGGGTGGAGGGAAAACATTACGTAATACTAATAATAATCACTCTTGGGCACATTAAATGTCTTATTTTACATTAATATAGACATTTTCATTAATCTATTATATTTTCTTCAAAATTATATAAGAAACACATTACATATAAACATTGTTTATACTATGGAGGTGTGGTAGCCGGGCGGAGGGAAAACATTACATCACTCCCCTTAATACATAACGCTTTTGTTTACAATTCTCGGCTTGAATTATGCATTACTTTTCGCTTTGTTTATGATGGCATCTAAAGGTAGTTCTTAGAAACAATTAAACTCAGTGAACATGGTATGTCGATGGTAATGATATGGCTCTGGGCTACATTAAATATCGTGTAGGTATGTAGCCCAGGCAGACTACCTACCTACATTATTATTATAACTGATAATTATACGTAGGTGTACTTGTACCTAAGTCAACTTACACACTGTGCTGGCATGCAGGTACATATTAAAACCACTAAGAGTGTCTTATTAGTCTTGAAAATGCCATATTAACCCTTTGACTACCTTGGTCGTATGTATACATCTTACGAGCCACCGTTTTTGACGCATATATACAGTGGACCCCCGCATAACGATATTAATCCGTGCATGAGAGCTCATTGTTATGCGAAATTATCGTTATGCGAATGAATTTTCCCCATAAGAAATAATGGAAATCAAATTAATCCGTGCAAGACACCCAAAAGTATGAAAAAAAAAAATTTTACCACATGAAATATACATTTTCCTACACACAAAGAGAAGGATACATGCACAATAGTAGAGTAGTACATGCACAATACATATTGTGCATGTACTACTCTACTAAATGAAGAATAAATGACACCTTTATTGAAGACGCAGCAATGACTGATGAGACACTGTGTCCTGGGAGTGCCTTTTCCTCCTGAGTACTGTAGGTCCTGTTTGGCATTTTCTTCCAGAACAGGCCTTATCACACTCTGTATATCACTATGATTCTTAAATCTCTCAAACCAACCTTTGCTGGCTTTAAATTCACCAATATGAGCACTAGTTCCAGGCATTTTTCCCTGTTCACCTGGGTGTTAGTCGACTGGTGTGGGTTGCATCCTGGGAGACAAGATTAAGGACCCCAATGGAAATAGGTTAGACAGTCTTTGATGACACACTTTTTTGGGTTATCCTGTGTGGCTAACCCTCTGGGGTTAATTGTTTCTTGGTATTCTCAATAAGCCACACCAACAACGGTGCTACAGCAGCAGCAGCAGCAGCTGACAGTGCTACAGCAGCAGCAGCTGACAGTGCTACAGCAGCAGCAGCTGACAGTGCTACAGCAGCAGCAGCAAATGCTACAGCAGCAGCAGACGGTACTACAGCAGCAGCAGCAGCAGCAGACGGTACTACAGCAGCAGCAGCAGCAGACGGTACTACAGCAGCAGCAGACGGTACTACAGCAGCAGCAGCAGCAGCAGACGGTACTACAGCAGCAGCAGCAGCAGACGGTACTACAGCAGCAGCAGCAGACGGTACAGCAGCAGCAGCAGACGGTACTACAGCAGCAGCAGCAGCAGACGGTACGCAGCAGCAGCAGACGGTACTCAGCAGCAGCAGACGGTTACAGCAGCAGCAGCAGCAGACGGTACAGCACAGCAGCACAGCGCAGAAGCAGCAGCAGACGGTAACTACAGCAGCAGCAGCAGCAGACGGTAATACACAGCAGCAGCAGCAGCAGCAGCTGATGGTGGTACAGCAGCAGCAGCAGCTGACAGTGTACAGCAGCACCAGCAGCTGACAGTGCTAGCAGCAGCAGCAGCTGACAGTGCTACAGCAGCAGCAGACAATGCTACAGCAGCAGCAGACGGTACACAACAGCAGCAGCAGCAGCAGCTGATGGTGGTACAGCAGCAGCAGCAGCTGACGGTGCTACAGCAGCAGCAGCAGCTGACAGTGCTGCAGCAGCAGCTGACAGTGCAGCAAGCAGCAGCTGACAGTGCTAAGCAGCAGCATGCCAGACATGCTACAGCAGCAGCAGACGGTCTAAGCAGCACACGACAGGGTACAACAGCAGCAGCAGCTGACGGTGGTACAGCAGCAGCTGCAGGCTGCAGCAGAGCTACAGGCGCAGCAGCAGCTGACAGTGCTCAGCAGCCAGCTGACCAGTAAGCAGCAGCAGCAGTCCAGCTGACAGTGCAACAGCAGCAAGCAGACGATGCTACAGCAGCAGCAGACGATGCTACAGCAGCAGCAGACGGTTACTACACAGCAGCAGCAGCTGACGGTGGTACAGCAGCAGCAGCAGCTGACGGGCTGACAGCAGCAGCTGACAGTGCTGCAGCAGCAGCTGACAGTGCGCAGCAGCAGCTGACAGTGCTACAGCAGCAGCCTGACAGTGCTACAGCAGGCAGCAGTCACGATGCTACAGCAGCAGCAGCACGAGTGCTACAGCAGCAGCAGACGGTACTACAGCAGCAGCAGACGGTACTACAACAGCAGCAGCAGCAGCTGACGGTGCTACAGCAGCAGCTGACAGTGCTGCAGCAGCAGCTGACAGTGCAGCAGCAGCAGCAGCTGACAGTGCAGCAGCAGCAGCAGCAGCTGACAGTGCTACAGCAGCAGCAGACAATGCTACAGCAGCAGCAGACGATGCTACAGCAGCAGCAGACAGTACTACAGCAGCAGCAGCAGACGCTACTACCTGGAGTTTACCTGGAGAGAGTTCCGGGGGTCAACGCCCCCGCGGCCCGGTCTGTGACCAGGCCTCCTGGTGGATCAGAGCCTGATCAACCAGGCTGTTGCTGCTGGCTGCACGCAAACCAACGTACGAGCCACAGCCCGGCTGATCCGGAACTGCCTTTAGGTGCTTGTCCAGTGCCAGCTTGAAGACTGCCAGGGGTCTGTTGGTAATCCCCCTTATGTGTGCTGGGAGGCAGTTGAACAGTCTCGGGCCCCTGACACTTATTGTATGGTC